ATTAAGTCGATGGAACAGTGTACGACCACGACCAAATTCATTAGTTAAATTCAAAGACAATACAGTTACATGGAAAGACTAAGGTAGCATAAACACCTCAACAAATTCTCCCATGGCAGCTCGTGCTTGCCCTCTCCGTTTCCATGCCTCACAAGCTGATGGATTTGATTCCATGGCCTGAACAACATAATCAGATCAACCACTTGCAGGTGAAGCCAAACTATTTTTATTCTTCTGTCAGATATTACTTAGTCAAATACCTTTGTAAAATCAGCTATCGCAGCCTCAAGTTCCCGTTGGAAAGCATAGGCTGTCCCTCTCCCTATTAGTGCCTCTGGATAGTTAGGATCCTCTTTCAATATCTGTGCATATAATTATACAAAAATGCAAATGTTCATAAAACTTGCTAATTGGCCCATAAAACAATGACCCTCTAGCCTTGTTGTTCCCTATCCGCACACCAAAAAAGAAGGGAAAAGAATACAAATGGAAGTCAAAGAAAAGCAAGGAAAAGTATAGATGGGAAGGCAAACTGAAATTGCCAGAAAATGTTCAGGATGACTCGCATGGAGTGAAGCTTTACCTGGTCAAATATTGATATGGCATGAGCATACTTCCCGTTATTAACCTGTAAAAGAGTTATACTATATGTTACACAGAATATAAGGTTTAAACCACTGGAACTTCAACATAAACGTTAACTGTGCTCAAACAAAAAAACAGTTACCAAATAAAACATTATAGCATACCTCTGCTATACCTCTTGACAGTCGAAAATCCACACTTATTGACTTGGTCTTTGAAAGTCTAGCAACGGAGAACTTCTTATTTTTCTTGGACTCCTCGCCAATTTCATCATGTATATCGGATTTACTACTTAGTTTAGGGGGTGTGGGAGGAGTTTCTATTAAATCACTTGACTTGCTACAAATCATAGGTAATTTACTGCATGTATCACTTAAGTCATTGCATGATTCAGAACTTAATTTATCATGACTATCATGATTCCCATTCATTTGGCTATCAAACTTCTTACTTCCTCCGGCTTTATCACCAATTCCATTCGATGCAACAAAATTACCATTAGACTTTCTATGGACCTCGGAGTTAACCGTTGATTCACTGCACAATTCTGATTCACCACTTAATTTATTGTCATTCTTATAAGTTTCACTAGATTTCCCATTAACATGCGATTTTGCTTCGGATGCAAGGTTAGATGATGTTGAGTCTTTTGCTTGGTTTTCATATCCATTACTTTTGTCCTTCTTTGCAATTGTCAAAAGCCCTTCCAGTTCTAGCAACTGCTTCAGATCTGCAGACTGACGGAAGGCATGTTCATAGCCTTGCTCCCAAACCAAAAGAGCATCCTCTTTCCTTCCCAAAGCAGAAAACGCACGACCTAGACAACAAAAACCAATTCTAAGATCACAAAATACCTGAGACCCAAGAGTACTTCATGTCGAATAAAAAAAAGCATCAACTAAGTGCACACTGTGAGTGCACAATTATGCATGCAAAGAGCCATATGATTCTAACATAATGAAATTTTAGGTCAATTATAAATGTGCTGTTTCGGAGAGAGCATGAGTGTGTACATACATATACATACATACATACATACATACACACATATATATATATATAATTCAATACTTTCTATTAAATGTATTTTCGTATATAATGATATACATACATACATACATATATATATATATAAGTCAATACTTTCTATTAAATGTATTTTTGTATACAATGACGGGGAGTAAGCTCCTAATTATTTGAATAATCAACTATAAAAATACATAAAATCCAAGTTCCAATTTCCCACAGATCATTCATTAAAGCATTTTGAAGTAGCTTTTAGATTAACAAAAAAAAAAAATCTATATACAAGGACCGCTACAATCAACACCGCAAGTCATCTAAACAATGCAATTGTGATGCCTTAATATCATGCTTACAAATTCTATGAACTTTTCACTCTGCATCAACTAACCACTCACTTAATCACATATTCCATACAACTAAAATTCAAATTAAGACCACATAAAATCCATCCGGAATCTCTAATTACGAGTAACTAAACAGTTGCACAGTTAAGCTATAATCATCAGCTAGTTACTCCAATAATCCTAAGTTAAAAAAAAACGATATAAACATTCCAAGTCAAATAAGAGCTCGAATTCGAGGAAAATGATCGGAGGAAAACCTTTGAGGATGTAAGCTTGAAGAAGCGCGGGATCCAGCTGAAGCGCCCTATCGCAGTCCTTAATCACGTGCTTGTGGAGCTCCAATTGGCTGTAACAGAAAGCTCTGTTGCTGCAATACACCAACATTCACAGCCACACAAAATCGATCAGAACACAATTCGATTAATAAATTGAAGATCGGTAGAAATCGAACGAGCGAGTGAGAGAGATATGGAGAGAGCGGCGGACCAGATATCTTGGATGGAAGAGGACTGGGAGAGGAGGGAGTCGAGGACTCGGATGGCCTTGGACCAGTCACGTGAGCTGCAGAGCTTGGCGAGCTCCGCCCTCTCGGCGATGGTGGCCGTCATTTCTGAGTCGCCGGAGCGCGGGATCGGGATGGCGCCGGGTCTGTGAAAGACTCGAGTTTTCTCGCTTGTGTGTGTCTGTTCCGTGTGTTCCTTTCTTCGCTTCAACGGCTCCACCAAGAGGACGGGTTAAAGAGGAATAGGAGTAAAATTGGGAATATGGAAAAGTAAAAGTTGAAAAACTGCGAAGGGGGGAGGAAAGAGAGGAATGGCTGTTAGCACAACTGGATGGGATTGTGTGCCTACACGTGTACGTGTTTCGATATTTGACATGATCGGTTGTGGTTTGGCACTTTGTTTGACATTTTGTACGGCATCCGACCAGGTAAATTTGCAAACCCATAAACCTTGTTCATGTCGGATGGGCCTGATTTAATTTGGGTTCGTATGTACTTTGGATGTTTTTCTCAGGCCCATTTTTGTTATCACAAGAAAATACAGCAGATTTATATTAAAATTTACCAAACGATATGATGCAGCTTTTTTCACTCACAGCACTGACAAAAACATAACTTACTAAACACTTACCATTTATACTCCAAAACTTATTATTTTCAAAGTACATCAAAAGCAGTTTATGAAAAAGACTACTACAATACTAAACTGGCCTTCAGAACTTTTATGCGATCGTTTGCTAAGGTTAGGCTGGAATATACCTTTACTCGATGACTTATGCTCTAATTCTAAAATAGGAGAAGGACTTGCATCCAACATATTTATTTTCACCTGACACTCCAATCCAATAATATGATATTATGTGTAAGTTTTCCTCATAGGAAATTGCATTTTTTTTTCCTTAAAAAGAGGACAGCAAGTGGCAAGCTACGGTTATCCACCCCTTCCGGAAGCTGGAAAGACTCATAGAGGCATTTCAGCTTCCCCTAGCCACAAGTCTAGCTTCCACATCAACAGCTGGTTTCGCACCCGATATCTCCAGTTTTTAGTTTAAAGAAAACCTCGTAGTTCGTCCTTTACCACTAAACCACCAGCTTGTAGTTAAGAAATTGCATTATTAGATCCAAACATGTCATGTGCGATAGTAAACATGTAATTTTGTTCCAAAAATATGCATGTTTTGACTACAACGAATGTGGACATCCGCAGATCGGCAAAGGAACGACAACATGCGGAAAAACATGTTCGCCAATGACACCACGCAACTGCTTCGTGAGTCATGACAAGTGTACTCATACAAGATATCTCTTCAACTATATATATAACATGCGTGACTCCTTGGGAACAAGCTTTCATACTTCCGTGGCACAAAGTGGGAGATGTGGAACATTAACCTCCATTCCTTCTTATGATGGTTGTCCATGTGTCCGATTACATCGCAAATTATCCAGTGGTGAAGCTACGTGTGGGTAAGGAGTGGCGGCCGCCCCTTCCCTCGCTGGAAATCAAGCTCAGGAACATGGTTCTGCCCCTCCGGTCTCGTTGAAAATGATGAAATTCTGTCTGATTTTCGGCTCTTAGGTTTCCCTGTTCTATCCTAGCACAGGCTGATCGCGTGCTCTCTCATTTTCCCCAAAAAAAAAAAAAAAAAAAAAACCTAGGCCAAAGAAAAGAGGAGCGAAGATCTGCTTGCAGCTTCTGGAGACTTCTCCCATCCCACCCCTCATGACCTTTCATAATTACAATTTGGTTTTTGTTTTTAAATATTGGCCAATCAATTTGCACCACCTAAATTGCTTTGTTTTATTTTTTAATTATTATCTAATTAATTTGACCACTCTTTCAATATTTTTTAAGTTATTTGTTTGACACTGTTATTTATCTTAAATTTATACAAGCTTTAAAAAATAATTTGTAAAATATTACGAACTCGTAATTATTTTTTTCTTTCTCTTACTATCAAATTCAACAAAGTAATAAAGAAAATTTGTCAATATTTTTATATATTATATGTTTTTTTGGATATTATAAGCTATATAATAAATGGACAATTATTTATATGGTATATAATAAATTTATTCAAATTTGCCTAGGCCCTCGCCTAAGTGTAAAGTCATGTCCATCGCTCGATTAGAGATTAACATCTTTTAAAACTTTGCTAATTATACAGTTAAGTAATAGGACGATACAACGAGAAACGGTGCTAAATCATCCTTCAAATAATATTGTTGTTCAAACCCACCTTCGACTATTTTGAGTAGTCCAAATCCTCATTTGAATATTTCGGTTAGTGCAAATTCTCTTACGGGTAGTTCAAATAATATTCTTGCAAATCCTGCACTCAAACCTCAAATAAATGTTCACATTTTTTCGGGACGCTAAATTTTTTAAATTTCGCCCCTCATCCCAATAATTATTGGCTTCGCCACTGAAATTATCCACATAACTTCGAAGTTGAACCAACAGCCAACAAAGACAACGATTTTTGGAGATGTGCGGAAACACAATTTACATGTAACAAATTCACTGACGATGAAAGTACGTGTTCAATAACAAAGCTTGTCTGTTTTGATCAAAATAACTGTTCAATAACAAAGCTTGTCTGTTTTGATCCAAATAACGCTACATTATGTCATTATCGAATCAAAACACCAAGTCGCACTCCACCAGAAGACCTAAACCCAAATTAACAACCCACCTACATAATCAGTTGACTTTAATTATTCCAATTACGCTTTGAAAAATTATTACAATTACACGGCTATGTCGTATCTGATGTGCTTGAGCACCACCGGATTCACAATCTCCGGCGAGCTCAGTTGCGGAAGATGACCGTCTGACGACATGACCTCGACGATCGACTCGCCGCCAAGATTCTGGTGCAAATACTCGGACACAACCACAGGGACAGCAAGGTCTTTTACACTCTGTAATATGTGACATGGCACCGTGATCACCCCAAGCATTTGTCTCAGGTCGCTTTGGAATATGGTTTGTGCCACGCTGAGGGCAATGTCCGGCCGCATGTTGAATAGGGTCCGGCTGAACTCCTGGACCGCCACCGAGTCCATGTCGCCGCCCACAGCCAGTGGCGCGAATCCGGAGCACCATGCCTTGTAGTTGGACCGGATCGCCTCGAATAGTTGCTCAAGATCTTCTTGCTCGAATCCGCCATAGTAGTCCACGTCGTTGAGATACCTATAAAAATGTTTCATTTTAATTAGTTGAATTGTTAATTGTGTTTAGGAGGTATAATTAAATAACAAAACAATCATTGAGAAAGATCGGAGAGCCAATATACTAATCAAAAGGTAGTTTTCGAAGATTAAGTAGTTGGGTTTGTGGGACTTCAGCTTAATTGTATAATTATTAAATTAGTTAGTCAATTAGATCGATGGATCAACTTTGAACAGACATGAACTAGTTTAACAAAAAAAAAAAAAAAAAAATATATATATATCAAAGAAGAAGGTAAAATTGGAGAAATTAGTTAATAATTGACGGATCCTCTCGAACAAAGTTTCGAACAAATCAGTCTCCACTTTGTTGGACAAAGTAGGGAGAGGTCGAACTTCAAAACTCTCCAAATCACAAAAATAAAAAACTAATATCTTATTGGCAAAGGTAAATTTAGGATGATTAAGTAATTGGGTTTGTGGGACTTGAGCTGAATTCTATAATAATTGACTTCGTTTAGTTCCTAATTAAATGGATTAATTAGACGACGATATTTACCTAGGGGAGGCAGCGATCATGACGAGCTTGGTGAAGAGGTCGGGTCGGGTGATGGCGGCTAGGGCTCCGATCATGCCTGAGACGGAGTGGCCGACGAATATGCATGACTCGATGCGGAGCTCCTCGAGAATGGCGAGGAGGTCGTAGGCGTAGCCTTCGAGAGTGGAGTAGCGCTCGAAGTCGAAGTATTCAGGGTTGGTGGTTCCGGCGCCCATGTTGTCGTACATAATAACGCGGTAGTCATCGACGAGGTGGGGGACGAGGTGCTTCCAGACCGACTGATCGGTGCCGAAGCCGTGGGCCAGCACTAGGACTTGCTGACCCGACCCTAAGACGCGCACGTTGTGAGCTTCTTCCACTATTCCCATTGCGGCTCTCTCTCTCTCTTCTTCCGCTTTCTCTCTCTTCTTCCTCTCTCTGTTGCTTGATTGTTGGTTGGTTTGGCTGACAAGTACCAACTGGAACCACATATCAGAACCCTGGTGATAAGATCGGTGGGGGGAGTACTAATCAGCTGCTGCTGGTGTACTGGAGCTTTCTGTGTGTTCTATTGACTGTTTTAACTGAGTCTTTTGACAAGAAAATGGGGATTCTTGGTTAGACAGCAACTCCACCCTAGCAAACTCCTAAGCAATTGGGCAATCCAATCCCCCAACCCCCAAAAATGGTTGAGCCCTTCCTAATAACCTGGGCTCCAGGGGAGCTCGACACAGTCCGTAGGCCCTAATCGCCTGGCCAGTGACTAGGTGGAGTAACGTCAAGTTGACGTCACGATAATGTTAATCTGACATCACGGTGGCGTCAGCCACGGTTTTGATTTTTTTGCCCTAGGCGCATGCAATTCACCACGAGAAAGGGCGCCTCCCTCGACAGGATTTCAAGGGTGGGCCCGCGTGTAGACGCACTAAGTGGCTCCAGATTAGGGGCTAAGTGGCTCTTCCTCAACAATTGGATTTCCAACGGCTATATTTTTGGGCCCAACAGCTAGATGACGTAAACACTCTGGACCGTTGGATTTTATTTTATTTTTTGTAATCCAACGGTCTAGATTAATTAAGTTAATAAAATTATAGCAAATTATTCAAAAATTCAAAAAAAAATTATTTGTTGTGTTTTTGCAAGTTTATGTGTTAAAATCTACCCACAAAGTACTTCCGGATAATGACACGTCGTGCTACAAGATTAGTTAAAAATTCTATCCGAAATTAAAAATAAAATTATTTTTTATTATCTTATAAAAAAAGTATTTTAAAACGAATTGGCTGGACTTTTCAGTTTAAGGGCGTAAATGCACTTAAGCAGTTATTGTTCACTAAAGCCAGTAATTGTTTTGCTCAATAGCTTGGAAGGTAATAGCCTAGGGGATATTTTAGGGGTGAAGTTACTCTTAGAGCAAATCCATCATTGCTAGCCTCTTTGGGGAATAGCAACTCAATCCCTTTAAAAGAACTGTAACTGCTTGCAGTGATCAATAACTACCCAAGTGCATCTCCACCCTTAAACTGAATAGTCTAGGCAATTCGTATTAAAATATATTGTATTTTTTATTTATAAAATAATTAAAGATAACTTTATTTTTAATTTCAGACAATAATAAAGGGTTTGTTGAAAATATTTGAAAATATTAAAATGTAGTATATGTCACATCCCGGCCCGGGGCGGATCACTTCCCGGGCCCGCTCCACCACCGTAGTACGATATTGTCCGCTTTAGGCCCCGACCACACCCTCACAGTTTTGTTTTTGGAAACTCACACGAGAACTTCCCAATGGGTCACCCATCCTGAGAATGCTCTCGCGCGCTACTCGCTTAACTTCGGAGTTCCCACAGAACCCAAAGCCAGTGAGCTCCCAAAAGGCCTCGTGCTAAGTAAGGATGAGAATATACATTTAAGGATCACTTCCCTTGGTGATGTGGGATGTCACAATCCACCCCCCTTAGGGGCCCGACGTCCTCGTCGGCACACCACGACCAGGGTTAGGCTCTGATGCCAAATTGTCACATCCTGGCCCGGGGCAAATCACTTCCCTGGCCAGCTCCACCACCGTAACACGATATTGTCTGCTTTAGGCCCCGACCACGCCCTCACGGTTTTGTTTCTGGGAACTCACACGAGAACTTCCCGATGGGTCACCCATCTTGGGAATGCTCTCGCGCGCTACTCGCCTAACTTCGGAGTTCCCACGAAACCCGAAGCTAGTGAGCTCCCAAAAGGCCTCGTGCTAAGTAAGGATGGGAATATACATTTAAAGATCACTTCCCTGGGCGATGTGAAATGTCACAGTCTAAAGTAGAAGAACATGGTTAGGTATTTTCTATAGAAAAAGTTATAATTTTTATATTTTTAATCAATTTTCATAATTTTTTTTTATAATTTAAATTGTGCTTTACGTCATGATGGCTTAGCCTTGAGTCACATAGCCCAGGCACTTGGCCAATGGATTATTGCATGACTTCTTTATCGGGCTCGCCTTGAACCCAATTACCTAAGTGGGCAGGAGTTTTTTTTTTTTTTTTTTTTTTGTTGTGTTTTTTTTGTTTTTGTTTTGGGGAGGGGGGTGAGAAGGGAGTGGATGGGGTTGCCTATCCCCAAGGCAATTAGAAATGGTGGAGTTGCTCTTGTAGGCCCTCGATTTAGGACAAGAGAAATGCTAGAGAGATCAAGTTCCTAAACCAAATGATGTGGATATTGATGATTGGATTATTACTTAAGTGTTTATTAACATGCTTATTTTCTATTGGTGACACATCATTTGGTTTGCAAATTTTGTTTAAAAATTTAGTCTTGTAGCATTATTCATCTCTCTAATAGAGGTATGGTCTACCAACATATCTGAGTGCCATCTTTGTTAGAGAGATGATATAAATATGTGATAAAAGTAGCATTTTTGTTAGGACAATTATAAGAACGCTAGTTGTATTTTTTGAGACGCTAATTTGTAGCCTAGGAGAATTGACATGAAACAAGGACATTAAGGTGGTGGCGTTTTAATTTTTTCTTGCAACGTCAAGTTAAAAACACTTAGAGTTCATGCCCTTTTATCGTTAGAAAGTCAGCTGAATTGTTTTCTAAAACAGTTACCAAAAAAATCATGTGTAAAAAAAGCTAAAATACATGACAACATATTAGGTCATCTCTAACCGTAGGGGCTATGTTTAGCCCCTGTCCAGATTATAGTCTTACAAGAAATTATTTTTTAATAAACAGTGTCAAACAATATTTTTATACCATCTCCAGCTGAATGGGGCTATTTTTTAGCCCCCTCAACAATTTATTATTTTTAATTTTGTTCTTTAACTTTTTTAGTTAATTGAATCAAACTACCATATTTCTTATCTTTATATAATTTTAATAATTTTTAGTCTTAAAGAATCTGAAGAATTGAAATAAAACGAAGTAAAATAGTATGGAAGGGTGAAAATGATGTGAGAAATGATTTAGATATTTATAAGAAAAAAAATTAGATTTTTTTTATTTTAAATTTCGTCTTAAAAAAAAAAAATCAAATCCAACGGCTAGCTGACGTCAGCTAGCAAGTGAGTTGTTGATAGCTGGGCCTAACATTTTGGTCTTCTCAATCCATATAAGCCTCCTTCTGCAACATAGTCTGACTATTTTTCATTGGGAAGAGATCCCCTCTGGATCTGTCTCACCAAATCCTAGGGCTCCGAAGATCCGAGCCCTTAAAATTTGATCAAACGACTTCAAATATGGGGCCTCTCTAAAGGTTATAATAATTGTAGCCGTTGGATCAAATTTGAAGAGTCCGGATCTCCAGATCCCTAAGACTTGGTGGGAGAGATCCGGAGGGGATCTCTTCCCTTTTTTATTAACCACATAGTCATGCTTGAGGATAGAGTAAAAATCTTAGGTTCATCTTTCTTGAATGGAAAACAAATTGATTGATATGTTGAAATACATGAAAGTATGAAGATACCAAGCTTAACTGATTAATAGGCAGATGTATCACTTAAATATTGATTTATGACCACTTTAGTTGTATAATTACGTTGAGATACTGCAACTAGTCACAATTAAATATCGAGTTATCAAACTCACTATAAATATGCGTTGTGATTGCACTCTAGTTAGACCTGAGACCTCATCTAATAAAGTGGAGGACAACCGCTAAACTCAAAGATGATTTGGTGCTGATATACATATTGATTAGGCTTTTCATCATAGTTTAGGTGAGTTTGATTTTTATATAGAAGAATCTTGCACCATATAATCCCTACAACATATTGTTACATTAGCCGAAGACTTTGTTCGAATACATTTTCAATTTGAATCAAACCTAAAAGATCTTATCTATAAGTGACGAAAAATACCACCAGACTATACCTTAGCTAGATTTAGAAAAAGAAAATTTGGATCTCAATGTCTATCTGCAAAGACATCTTTCATACATAAAAGGCAATCCAATCCAGTTATCCGAAGCTATAAATAGCCACTCTAAAATGTGATCCTTTTGAAAATTCAACTCCACTAAATAAAGCAATCATAACATACATGGTCATCTTCATGTGTGGACCTAAACTAATGAATAATTATTAGCTGTCATATTCTGGCAACCGGACACCTTAACTCAAGGGTTGAGAATTTTCGCCCTCAATCATTTTTGATAGTGCATGTTACAAAATTGGGTTCAAGGAAAGGAAAAAGCCAAACGCCAAGTTGAAGAGTGGAGAAAGCTACAAGTCCAAGAGAGTTTGAATATTTACCACTACAAATAATAGGTAATTTGGTGCATGAACTCTATCACCTGTTCCATTGGATGTGATAAAATTGTTGGAAAATAATAAGTTTAGGATTTGGGCTCAATCCATTAGAATTAGGTTTTGTTAAAGTTATGATTTAGTATTATAAATAGGATGTATGTTATTCACTTTAGCATAAATCAATCAAGATATAGTCATTCGGTTGTAGCCATCCTAACATTATTGTTTATTAACAATATTCTTACTTTCATTTTTCGTTGCTTGTCCGTTTGTTTGTTCTTTTGTATGTGGACTCTAATTTTCAACTTGGTGAACTTGGTGCTAGAGTAGGCTTAATTTGCTTTTGGTTTTTGTTTTTTTTTTTTTTAGTGTATCAGTTTGTCTGTCTCCATTGTTTGTTTTGTCCAGTTTTCTGTTAAACTTTTTTTGTTTTCTGGTTTGTCGTTCATAAAAATTTCAAAATAAATCTGTTGAAGTCTTAAGCCAGAGTCCTGCCCAACCGCTGGAGCTACCACACCAGTGTTGCACCTTTGTTTCGCACCACCATCATGCTAGAGCCTTGATGTCGCTGTTTGCTTGATTTGGACCCACTAGCCTGACCCGCAGCTTGAAGAACTCGAATCTGACGACCACAATACTGTTTACTACATGCTACTTGACTGAACTCGTGTGACTCCTCTGCTTGAATACTTGTTATCTTCAAGTTGGAGACTGCCACCCACTGGTGCTTGCCATTGTA